TATGAAAGAAACACCTAAAATAAAATTATCTTAGAAAACATATTCTACTAACAGCTGATGACGTAGAATATGAGATTTTATATGAATTGTTAAGAGTAACGGTTATGCTATACCCCTTTGTAAATGGGATCTACCTAATAATTTGTGTAGAATGATAACCTGTGTTGTAAAGGAAAACGCTTTTGTTGTAATAGTATTCTTTTCAAAGAGTGTCCATTATTTACAAAATGGTATTTTAGGGTTTGTTCACTTGAATGAATTTGGATAGAGTAATAAAATGAATTTGAGAGGATTTGAAAATAATTTTTTTTATTGTTTATTCGAGTGGATTTGGAGATAGGTAATAGTGTATTTGGAAATAAATTTTTTTAATCTGTCACATCAATCAAATCTTACATTAATTCTCACAAACTGTTACTTTTAAATTCACTCTCACTTACCACTTACCTTCAAATTCACTTAAATAAATAATAAAAAAAATTTATCTTCAAATCCTTTTAAATCCACTCAATCACTCTCCTCCAAATCCAGTGAACAAAGGGTTAAAGAATTTTCTAGGTGCAGTAAAGTTTGGAAATTCCCTCTTCACAACTTGTTCTGGCAGTTTTTCTATTGGAACCCCTTGATCACTACTTCCATCCCTATATCAATAACCAAAAGACTAAAATACTCTTTTTGCTGTATTACTATTGTCACTGTCACTATCGGTATCGCTTTTGCCAGTGTTGTTATTGCTACAGCTGCCACCAACCTACATATATGTTATCCATAGTTGTTGCATTGTGAGAGGAGGAAGAAGAAGAGAATCTTATTTTAGAAAACTTATTGCATCTAATTTCAGAATACATCACTTTTATTTTGAAAAGTTTGTTCTTAAAAACTCTTTTCAAAAAGTTCTTTCCACATAAGACATCATATGTTTCGGAAAATTTGTTCTAGAAATTTTGTTAAAGAAAACTTATTAAAAATGCATTTTATGTATTCTATAATCTATTTCTGAAAATCCTATTTCAGAAATTGTGTTTTGAAAATTCTAAAAAACTTGTTTCAAAAGATTTTTAGAACAGATAATTTAGAAATTATCTTTACAAAAGGTAAAATGGTTATTTTAAATTCATGTAGGCGAAGTTAGAAATTCTGGAGGTGCAGAAAGGAAAAGGCCGATCTCATATTTGCCTATATCGGGCTTTTAATTTTTTGACCGATTTCTGTTTAGGTTGCATTTTAACCGCCCATCGTGTAAACGGACGTATATTTTTATATTGGATAAATAAAATTGAGTAAATTAAAAAATTTAACCACGTGGCTACCACTGTTGAACTAAGATGTATTCACACCATCTGCACAAACTGTTTCAATTGTTAATTACTCTTCCTAAACAATTAAATAGCTCATATTCAATTAATCCAATAAATTAAACAATTTGATATGAATTTTAAAATAATAAATTTAGGTTATAATAGATTGGTCAGGTTAGATCAATCCATTCGACCGATGCTCATCCCTAATCTAAGGTATTGAGGTAGATGGAATAGTAAAGCATGGAACACACTTGGAGATGTGGGGTGATCTAAGAAGGTTAAAACAAATGAGAGATATCCTGCTACGTATAAAAGAGTAACCTATACATGGGGACTATGGAAGGAATAAATTGCAAATGCTTCAACTATATTCAAACCTGTTATGATTAAACATCATTATAACTAGTTACAATTCTGACTTAACATTAGCATAGAAGGGTAGCTTGTGCATTGAAAAAGGATAACATGTTTCATTAAAATTAAGGATTTGTCGGATTTAACCTCAAAGATTATCCAAAATGGGATTTTTGAAAAGCACAGTTAGTAATACAAAATGAAAGCTCTTGACATGATCTTGCTAAGCTTTGCAAAACTAAGAACAATATAGAACTACTGGATAAAAGTGAAAAAAAAAAAATAAGGACCCTGGACTGCTGCAGAATGTGATGCTAAAGTGTTAAACATATGATTGAAAATTAAGAGATAGTATACAATAAAGGTAACAACACACTGGGTGCAATTAAGGACTTTTGTATAGTTCTTGAGAGTTTCGAGCTTGATCAACTTCTTGATTAAAGAAGTCTATCATTTATCTTAACGGGTTTAAAGTTGGAACATTGGTTAACGAAATTAAAAAAAACAAACCATTGTTTTCCAAGATAATTAAAATCCTTGTTCCCTAGGTGCTCAGTTGGGTGAATGAAAAAGTGATTAAAAATATAAAATCGCATTTAATTTAATGTTACTTAAGAATTGAAATCACTACAAAAATAACATATTTTAGGAGAGTTAATTTTTGGGGATTTTGGAAACCCTGGAAATTTTCAGCGGTTAAAACCTTAGGTAATTTTTTCATATTATTTTATAAAATTTTTAGGTGGTTTATCACATATTCACCCTAATTTAGCACCTCCCTCTCCCGTGTCTTCATTTCCCAATCTTCAAATTTTCGCAAGCCCTAAATCGTGTATCCATAAGCTTCTTTCTACTGAGATTTTCCCGCAAGCTGTACCCGCAAGCTTCTTTTTTCTGCTATGATTCTTCAAACAAAGGCTCTTATTGTTCGTGGAGCTCTTCGGTTTGGGTTCGTCTTTGTCTTCCGTTGCTTAGGAACAAAAACCTGGTGCATTTCTGGGTTGAACGAGTTCGACCGTCAATGTATTGTTCGTCGAAGGTCCTGGTGCCTCCAATCGAGGGGCTCTAGCGTGTGTTCGCTCCCACACCGACCATCAAGTAATGTGGTCAAGCTTCGCTCTCTCTGCTTTTGCCTCTCTGAGATGTTTTTGTCATGTCCAAGGTGTGTGTTTTATGTTTTTGTTTGGTTTGTTTTTTCTCTCTCTAACCTGAGTGCAAGAATAACAAGGAATCTGGAAGATTTTGTTAGAGCATTTTGTGAGGAGACTTTGGTTTGTTTTTCATTTTTAGAGAATTTATTAACTTCCACCTCCAGCCAATGAGTGTTAAGGCATGTCGGAAAGTTGTAATAACTGAACAAACCAGTGAAGGAGACAATCAAAATAAAGACCACTACTAAAAACTGCCAGAAGTAGGATATGAAAGCCATAAAACTGTTTGAAACACACTGGTAAATGATAATGAAATACTAATTGATATTAACTATTTTGTATAAAAATGTTTGTATGTTCAACAAAGGTACAACACTATTATTTATACTAATCGTAATCCTAACTAATTAAGAAAATAAATCATGATTTTATAAGGAAATATAATAACCAATCGTAAGTTATTAATAAGGAAATCTAGAGGTTAATATGAAATAATATTATTGAATATTTCCATGTATTATTAAGTATTCGCTTGTGTGGCTTTTTGCAGGTATAATAATTTGTTACAAAATAATCCTATCATAGTGAAATTGATTCCTGCAATTGGCGTTATCAATTTTGCAATATAGGGTGTTGGTCCATTATTGTTCCAGACAAGGAAAATACTCTTCCAGGTTATATTGTTGTTATTATTCTTTTTTCCTGTATTAACTATTTATCTGATTCAATGCAATTGATACGTAACTCTGATATTGTAGAGGAGTGATAATAGTTGGAAGAAAAGTACCACTGACTTTATAGTAACTTCTTACCTTCCGCCATTACTGTTATGGACTGGAGCAATACTTATTTGCAGGTCTCTGTTATGATAATAACTTTATCAGATTTTGAATTTGTTATATCTTTCTTTGATGCTCCATTCTTCGTGTGCTGACTTATTCACTAACTGCAGAGCATTGGAGCCATTAATTCTACCTTCAGAACCTGATCAGGTTGTTAAGGACCGGCTTCTGAATTTTGTGAGATCATTATCAACGGTTCTGGCCTTTGCCTATTGTTTATCAAGGTGTGCCTATTTCCTTACCTTCATTTGATCTCCTGAAACTGATGAATATTTTGTCACTTAATGATGCATTTAAGCACTTATATAGGTTTTTCTTCTTCTTTTACTAGGGAAATGGTTCGATTTTATATTATTATGACAAACTGTGATACCTTACATATTTATTATCTCAGCTTTTTATGTGCTTTATGATGGGGACCGTTCAACTATAATTCTTTCAAGATTATCATTGTTGTAGCCAATTTGAGTACTTTAGCTGGATTTGCACTCCCAATTTATAGTGCTTTCTAATGTTTTCATCCATAAATTGTTAAGGAGGTTACATTTTACACTTTGAAACTATAATAAATGTGGTTAGATTCTCAATATAAGAATAAATGTTTTCTCTTTTATATATATTTTCAATGTGATTTGATCCTTGGTTTGTTTTAAACAATTTGAATTTTAAGACCTAAGAACAATATATTGAAATATTCAAATATGAGAGTCTTCGTCAGATGTAACTGTGAAAATTAGAAGCTTTAATTAGTGTTATAAGCTGCTGCTAATCTTGTTTTCATCAAAGTTAGTTGCATAAATCCAATGTAGATGTTCCAATAAAACAACTTTTAATCCTTCATTTAAAATACATCCACTTTTGACTTTTCTTTCCACATCTTTTCTGAACTAGGATCTCGGATATCAATCACTTTGCATTAGTAAAACACTTCCTTCATAAACTCTTAATAATCTTGTATTGTTTTTGATTAAGATAGTGAGAAAAGTTGACATTTAATTATGCAGCACAGGTATATGATATGTTATGGACTCTTAATAAATATGTTGTATCTTGCTTCCTAAAACTATGCTACGTGTGTAATAGTATATTTCAGCAGTTAATTTTGAAATGCTGGATGTGCTTTAAATTAGCCTTAAACATGTTGAATTGATTTCGATAATATCCATGTTAAATTAGCCTTAAACTATGCTACGTCTGTAATGATTTTTTCTTTGTCATATAATCATGAAAAACTTAAATGAATCAAATATAATGACTTTTAGCTTTTACTACAGATCAAAATAGGTCAAGACACAAAACATATTCAGTAATCAACAACTAAATGGTTTAAGGAGAAATAAAATGCACATAGATTTGTGGTTTTGAAAGTGACTTCTGATTTGATAAACAATTAGCTAATTCTGACCATAACAGGGCCTTAAGTAGGAAAATTAAACTTTGTTAGGCTCACTGAAGTGACAGAACTAAAAGGCTAGAACAATTTTTGGAATATTCATACTCAAACTAGTAAAACTGTAGAAAACTAACCACAACTAAACTACTAATTTTGTGAAAGCAAGATTAAAGGAGCAAAATAGTACTGCAATTGACTCTAGAATATGTTAACAAAGTGAACTCAACATTGATTTAAGGCTAAGCATGAGTGGCTCTCAAATTTGAATTTCAAAACATATTCGGTCTCGGTGAAAAACTGATTTTAAAGAGATTTTCCTACTGTGTAGCAATATGCACCCGAGCTATGCCTAGCAATTATTGCTCTTACGACGTGCAATAACTTTTCACAAGCAGAAACACAAAAAGGTTGATTTTGAAACTGGATTTAAAAGATGATGATCACAACAGACATCACAAAATCGCAAAAAAATTAAACAGAATTAGCAATCGAAAAAGAATTCTAGTGCTTTTGGTGGTTTGTCATCAAGCTTAATTAAGATTTTCATAANGGTTATTTTAAATTCATGTAGGCGAAGTTAGAAATTCTGGAGGTGCAGAAAGGAAAAGGCCGATCTCATATTTGCCTATATCGGGCTTTTAATTTTTTGACCGATTTCTGTTTAGGTTGCATTTTAACCGCCCATCGTGTAAACGGACGTATATTTTTATATTGGATAAATAAAATTGAGTAAATTAAAAAATTTAACCACGTGGCTACCACTGTTGAACTAAGATGTATTCACACCATCTGCACAAACTGTTTCAATTGTTAATTACTCTTCCTAAACAATTAAATAGCTCATATTCAATTAATCCAATAAATTAAACAATTTGATATGAATTTTAAAATAATAAATTTAGGTTATAATAGATTGGTCAGGTTAGATCAATCCATTCGACCGATGCTCATCCCTAATCTAAGGTATTGAGGTAGATGGAATAGTAAAGCATGGAACACACTTGGAGATGTGGGGTGATCTAAGAAGGTTAAAACAAATGAGAGATATCCTGCTACGTATAAAAGAGTAACCTATACATGGGGACGATGGAAGGAATAAATTGCAAATGCTTCAACTATATTCAAACCTGTTATGATTAAACATCAATATAACTAGTTACAATTCTGACTTAACATTAGCATAGAAGGGTAGCTTGTGCATTGAAAAAGGATAACATGTTTCATTAAAATTAAGGATTTTGTCGGATTTAACCTCAAAGATTATCCAAAATGGGATTTTTGAAAAGCACAGTTAGTAATACAAAATGAAAGCTCTTGACATGATCTTGCTAAGCTTTGCAAATCTAAGAACAATATAGAACTGGATAAAAGTGAAAAAAAAAAAATGAGGACGCTGGACTGCTGCAGAATGTGATGCTAGAGTGTTAAACATATGATTGAAAATTAAGAGATAGTATACAATAAAAATAACAACACACTGGGTGCAATTAAGGACTTTTGTATAGTTCTTGAGAGTTTCGAGCTTGATCAACTTCTTGATTAAAGAAGTCTATCATTTATCTTAACGGGTTTAAAGTTGGAACATTGGTTAACGAAATTAAAAAAAACAAACCATTGTTTTCCAAGATAATTAAAATCCTTGTTCCCTAGGTGCTCAGTTGGGTGAATGAAAAAGTGATTAAAAATATAAAATCGCATTTAATTTAATGTTACTTAAGAATTGAAATCACTACAAAAATAACATATTTTAGGAGAGTTAATTTTTGGGGATTTTGGAAACCCTGGAAATTTTCAGCGGTTAAAACCTTAGGTAATTTTTTCATATTATTTTATAAAATTTTTAGGTGGTTTATCACATATTCACCCTAATTTAGCACCTCCCTCTCCCGTGTCTTCATTTCCCAATCTTCAAATTTTCGCAAGCCCTAAATCGTGTATCCATAAGCTTCTTTCTAATGAGATTTTCCCGCAAGCTGTACCCGCAAGCTTCTTTTTTCTGCTATGATTCTTCAAACAAAGGCTCTTATTGTTCGTGGAGCTCTTCGGTTTGGGTTCGTCTTTGTCTTCCGTTGCTTAGGAACAAAAACCTGGTGCATTTCTGGGTTGAACGAGTTCGACCGTCAATGTATTGTTCGTCGAAGGTCCTGGTGCCTCCAATCGAGGGGCTCTAGCGTGTGTTCGCTCCCACACCGACCATCAAGTAATGTGGTCAAGCTTCGCTCTCTCTGCTTTTGCCTCTCTGAGATGTTTTTGTCATGTCCAAGGTGTGTGTTTTATGTTTTTGTTTGGTTTGTTTTTTCTCTCTCTAACCTGAGTGCAAGAATAACAAGGAATCTGGAAGATTTTGTTAGAGCATTTTGTGAGGAGACTTTGGTTTGTTTTTCATTTTTAGAGAATTTATTAACTTCCACCTCCAGCCAATGAGTGTTAAGGCATGTCGGAAAGTTGTAATAACTGAACAAACCAGTGAAGGAGACAATCAAAATAAAGACCACTACTAAAAACTGCCAGAAGTAGGATATGAAAGCCATAAAACTGTTTGAAACACACTGGTAAATGATAATGAAATACTAATTGATATTAACTATTTTGTATAAAAATGTTTGTATGTTCAACAAAGGTACAACACTATTATTTATACTAATCGTAATCCTAACTAATTAAGAAAATAAATCATGATTTTATAAGGAAATATAATAACCAATCGTAAGTTATTAATAAGGAAATCTAGAGGTTAATATGAAATAATATTATTGAATATTTCCATGTATTATTAAGTATTCGCTTGTGTGGCTTTTTGCAGGTATAATAATTTGTTACAAAATAATCCTATCATAGTGAAATTGATTCCTGCAATTGGCGTTATCAATTTTGCAATATAGGGTGTTGGTCCATTATTGTTCCAGACAAGGAAAATACTCTTCCAGGTTATATTGTTGTTATTATTCTTTTTTCCTGTATTAACTATTTATCTGATTCAATGCAATTGATACGTAACTCTGATATTGTAGAGGAGTGATAATAGTTGGAAGAAAAGTACCACTGACTATATAGTAACTTCTTACCTTCCGCCATTACTGTTATGGACTGGAGCAATACTTATTTGCAGGTCTCTGTTATGATAATAACTTTATCAGATTTTGAATTTGTTATATCTTTCTTTGATGCTCCATTCTTCGTGTGCTGACTTATTCACTAACTGCAGAGCATTGGAGCCATTAATTCTACCTTCAGAACCTGATCAGGTTGTTAAGGACCGGCTTCTGAATTTTGTGAGATCATTATCAACGGTTCTGGCCTTTGCCTATTGTTTATCAAGGTGTGCCTATTTCCTTACCTTCATTTGATCTCCTGAAACTGATGAATATTTTGTCACTTAATGATGCATTTAAGCACTTATATAGGTTTTTCTTCTTCTTTTACTAGGGAAATGGTTCGATTTTATATTATTATGACAAACTGTGATACCTTACATATTTATTATCTCAGCTTTTTATGTGCTTTATGATGGGGACCGTTCAACTATAATTCTTTCAAGATTATCATTGTTGTAGCCAATTTGAGTACTTTAGCTGGATTTGCACTCCCAATTTATAGTGCTTTCTAATGTTTTCATCCATAAATTGTTAAGGAGGTTACATTTTACACTTTGAAACTATAATAAATGTGGTTAGATTCTCAATATAAGAATAAATGTTTTCTCTTTTATATATATTTTCAATGTGATTTGATCCTTGGTTTGTTTTAAACAATTTGAATTTTAAGACCTAAGAACAATATATTGAAATATTCAAATATGAGAGTCTTCGTCAGATGTAACTGTGAAAATTAGAAGCTTTAATTAGTGTTATAAGCTGCTGCTAATCTTGTTTTCATCAAAGTTAGTTGCATAAATCCAATGTAGATGTTCCAATAAAACAACTTTTAATCCTTCATTTAAAATACATCCACTTTTGACTTTTCTTTCCACATCTTTTCTGAACTAGGATCTCGGATATCAATCACTTTGCATTAGTAAAACACTTCCTTCATAAACTCTTAATAATCTTGTATTGTTTTTGATTAAGATAGTGAGAAAAGTTGACATTTAATTATGCAGCACAGGTATATGATATGTTATGGACTCTTAATAAATATGTTGTATCTTGCTTCCTAAAACTATGCTACGTGTGTAATAGTATATTTCAGCAGTTAATTTTGAAATGCTGGATGTGCTTTAAATTAGCCTTAAACATGTTGAATTGATTTCGATAATATCCATGTTAAATTAGCCTTAAACTATGCTACGTCTGTAATGATTTTTTCTTTGTCATATAATCATGAAAAACTTAATTGAATCAAATATAATGACTTTTAGCTTTTACTACAGATCAAAATAGGTCAAGACACAAAACATATTCAGTAATCAACAACTAAATGGTTCAAGGAGAAAGAAAATGCACATAGATTTGTGGTTTTGAAAGTGACTTCTGATTTGATAAACAATTAGCTAATTCTGACCATAACAGGGCCTTAAGTAGGAAAATTAAACTTTGTTAGGCTCACTGAAGTGACAGAACTAAAAGGTTAGAACAATTTTTGGAATATTCATACTCAAACTAGTAAAATTGTAGAAATCTAACCACAACTAAACTACTAATTTTGTGAAAGCAAGATTAAAGGAGCAAAATAGTATTGCAATTGACTCTAGAATATGTTAACAAAGTGAACTCAACATTGATTTAAGGCTAAGCATGAGTGGCTCTCAAATTTGAATTTCAAAACATATTCGGTCTCGGTGAAAAACTTATTTTAAAGAGATTTTCCTACTGTGTAGCAATATGCACCCGAGCTATGCCTAGCAATTATTGCTCTTACGACGTGCAATAACTTTTCACAAGCAGAAACACAAAAAGGTTGATTTTGAAACTGGATTTAAAAGATGATGATCACAACAGACATCACAAAATCGCAAAAAAATTAAACAGAATTAGCAATCGAAAAAGAATTCTAGTGCTTTTGGTGGTTTGTCATCAAGCTTAATTAAGATTTTCATAACTTCTCTTTGACTGACAGATCTTACACCATAAGAAAAATTGACACCAAAGTGCTTAAACACAGAATTTAAAAGACAAATTAAAACTCTACCAGATTTCTTGTGCATATGACTTAAGACATAACAAAATTTGATTCAAAACTAAAATTACTCAAGCAAAGTGATTCCACCGAAAATTAGCCTTAAACAGGCTGAGGTTGTTAACTCTGTTAGTGCTGATGATGATGATCATCCAGAGTTTCAATTGAAAAGATATGACTACTTTGTTTTTTGTAATAAACTTCATTCTTATGCAAAAGATATGCTTCAAGATTGTTGCTAACGCCCTCAAAGGTGTAGGCTTGTTGTCTAGGAGTTTGGGTCATTATGATTTTGTTATTCTTAATTGTATCGGTTAGATATTCTGGAAAATATCTTGTCATATTTTTATTGTATCTTTTAGACAATTTAGAGCATCTTAGATGTACTAGAAGTGGTTTCCTAATTTTGTTTCATTTCCTTATTTAATTTGGATTAAAGTTAAGTAATAGTACAGATAAGGTTTAGTGGTTCAAATTTTAACACATCTTTATGTGCAAGAATATTCGTAAAATCACCTTTCTATTAATGAAAGACTATTTTTCTCCTCTACCTAAACTATTTTATTTTAACTTGGTGCGCTATAACTCAGTCGTCAAGAGTTCTAACCATGCCACTTCCATTCCTTGAAAAAGAATGACTTTAAGGAGAAGGTAAGGTGAACCTATACATTGTGGTACAAGAGTGCATGCTCTTTACTATCATTGTCTCTGCAATTGTATTCTTTGGATGTCTTTGTGGTGTTTGTTTTCTCTGGGTTCTACCCTTTATCCCCTTTCCTGGATGTCTGTTCTTCGAACATTCTTATGTTGTTTGCTTACCTTTTTAAAGCATGATCTTTGCTCATTTCCCTTTCTGATTTGTTGTTGTTGTTGTGTGTTCATGACACAGAGAAACACTAGCTATTTACAGTTCAAATTAAAGACGAGTAAGAAGATTGGTTGTTTCCAGATTTCAAAGGTTAATTTGAGATAGTTTATAGTTTTTACTCTTAAATCAGGTTTGGTTCTCACCTGTGAAATTATTCTACAAACATTAAGAAATAATAACTTTGAACAAATGAACCTGTGAAATTTTTCATTTAAATTTAGGCTTTGGTAGGAATATAGTTACCATAAATATTGACTCTTTACTAGCTATGTTGTGGAATGAAAACGAGATGAAAAGAGCAAGAAGAACCTTGTACCTGTATCCTGGACCTTGTAAGTTGTTCTACAAGTACTTGTTCCTGAAACAATATATTGTGAGGAATAAGATTAATCACAACATATTTATATATTAGCAAGTCTTGACCTGAAGAACTGAATAAGTGGTTGAACTAAACAGTGAATTGAGTTGGATCTACAGTTTCTTAGATTATGACAGTGAAATAAAATATCTTAAATATGACGAAACCTAGCAACACTACCTTGCAAGAGGCACATCCTAAGTCTAATATAATAATTAATTCTGAGATTCATTATCACAATGATCCAGTTGCTGAGAAATAGAAAGGCTTTAATGTAGAGACCACATAGCACTCAAACATACCCTTCCTTCAATGAGATCTTGAGTTCCAATGTTGACTATTGTACATCCAATTGCTTTAGCTGAGTTCAGGAAAAGCGTGTGGTTTTCATTCCTTTCCCATGGATTAAGTAATCCTTTTGTATTGATTGCCCTTTCATCAATGGTCTGTGGAACAACCACATTAATCAGCTTACTGCAACAAATGTAATTCTTATTAAAGGATGAAAATCTGAGTTATATTGAGCAACATAAGAAGATAAACAATAAAAGCATAGTACCAAAGAAGAACACCATCTTTTGCTATCTCAAATAGGTCATTGGTTGAAGAATCAATATGAAGGCATTTCTTGAGAAATTCATCTCCTCCAAGATAGTTATTTATATGTGCAACATATCATGCCTTCTCAGATTCACTTATTGTATGAAGCAATGTGGTTGTTGCAGCCTTGAGGAACGCTTATGAGTTTTTTGCATTACTCCACGTCCTAGAACTTTCAAAACTTTGCAGTTTTAAGTACACCTGTCATCATTATGGCACCATTATTAAAATCACTCAAATTAACTTTGATTTGGACACAACTACTAAAACTGTTTCACTTTTTAAAAGGTGAACCATGTTCCACCATAATCTAAGAAAATGTAGATCCATGTTCTTTCTCTCTTAATGTTTATTTATTAGAAACTTGTTCTCTTATTTCATTGTTTGCATTTCTAGATGTAACCATGATTAAGGTGGTTAACCGTGAGCTTAGCTGCAGACTTGGTTGACAATTCATGGTGTATCTCTTTAGTGATATAATTATTGGTTGACAATTCTTGCTACTGTTTTTGCACACATCTTAAGTTTAAATATAAGTATAATGTTGCCAACTCAATAGTTTGTCTCTTTATACAAATGCAATGTTTTTAATGTTGGCATAATTGATTACGTTGTATGTAGGAAAAAAAATTCAAACATATGAATCTACAACATCGTCTCAATCAAAAGAAATATCAAGTTTAGATTCATTGGCTCATGTTTTAGGAAGCCAAGAGCATTGTGGACGTGTTCGCGGTCTAGGTTTAGGTCCTTGTCCATCTAAAGTCTTTGGAGTTCATGCTCGTTCTCATATTGGATCATCTTCATCTACTCCTTCTAATGTTGAATTACAATCTCAGGTTAATGAATATTTAAATATTTATTTGGTTTGTTCCTTTTAAGATTAACATGTTAGGTATCATATTTCTCACTTTTTAAATAAATTTTTTTTGTTATAGGTATCTTCATTGACTTCTTCTAATGTTAAATTAGAATCTCAGGTTAATGAATATTTAATAAATATTTACTTGGTTTGTTCTTTTTAAGATTAACATGTTAGGTATCATATTTCTTACTTTTTAAATAAATTTTTCTGTTATAGGTATCTTCATTGATATCACAAGTCAATGAAATGAAGGCAATGATGACACTTTTGTTGCAAAATCATCAAGGTCCATTGCCTTCATAGTTTGCATTATTTCAACGATCATCGGTAATAACAGTTAAATTTATTTGTATGATTTTTTTATTAAATATATTATCGACTAACTATTATGTTATATTGTAGGTATCTGATCAAGGGAGTGGGCCAAACAATGGATGTAATGAAGAAGAAAATTAGATATTGTTAGTGAATATCTTTATGAGTCATACTTTTAGTATTGAACATTTGTATTGAACATCTATATTGAACATATGTAATGAACATCTTTCTTTTTAATTTTTATGTATGAACAATTAGTTGTATGAATGATATTAGGTTGAACAATGTAGTTTATTTTATACAATATTATTCAATTTTAGTTTATATTAATTTATTATTTGTTTTGTCAATAAAACCATTTTTATCATAACCTAATTTATTACAAAAAAAAATGAACTGAATAAATTCTCGGCGGTTTTAAAATCCCGGTAAACTAAACCATGCAAAATAGGGATGGTTTTGAGATAACACCAGCTAATTTCGGCGGTTTTTGAGTAACCCTCGCTATTCTTAGCGATTTTCACAAAACCCTCGCCGGCGGTTTCTCAAAATCCCAACTAATTTCGGAGGTTTCGTTTTTAACCCCTGGAACTTCTGACGGTTTCCGGAAACCCCCGCTAATATTGGCGGTTTTTTCTAGAACCGCCAGTACTTACTTGGCGATGGGCGTTTTCCCAACGGTTTTTCCAACCACGGGAAATGTGATTTGCGGGGTTAAAACCTCCAGTAATATTAAATAAAAAACCCGGTAAAATTACATATTTTTGTAGTGAATGAAAAACAATTTAATTCATTTTATTTCTTTAAAGTAAATAATACATATGTTAAGGGATTTGAGATCAAAACAAAAAAATAAGCTTTAAAGTTAAAACACAACCTTCTAAAATAATAGAAAAAAATTTAAAATGAAATAAGCTCATTTGTCAAATGTGCCTAATTTGGCGAATCGAAAGTTTTTTAAACTAGTCAAATTAATAAATTAGAGATTAGCTTATAAGATTCTCCAATACTTTAATTGATAATTATAAACTATAAATGATTAATTATAGTTTTTTAATAATTAGCCATATTAAAAAATGGTTAGACTGTTTTAAATATTAAAACCTTATAGCTTATTTAATTAATAAGTGATCTTAAAAGTCATCTCTATTTACTAAGTAAACTTTCCTCTTCCAAGTATGTATACATTTCATATACGTTTATCTAATACTAAAGTCACCCCATTTAATTTGGTTTACATACATACAGTTGAATTTTCAATATCCACGGTGCCATCAATGTACTAAACTATATAATTAAAATATGAAGTTCTAAATAATTACTAGAAGATATGAATAAAATATGTACAATGAATTTCTATTCAAATTAAAAAAATAAGTGAAAAAAACAACAACCTAGTACTCCACCTTTCTCGTGTAATTTATGACTAGAAAGGCATAATATTATAGCTATTAATAAGATGAACTAGAATATCAGCTTATCATGTGCACTTGCACGGCAAAATCTGCCCTATTCAAAACACTTATCATTGCAAGGAAAATTACATTCCAACCAATTCAATGGAAAACTTTTTTTTCAAAACAAACAATATGCACGTCTGTAGTGGTTGGACGTACGGATTTATATACATAGCATAGACAAGATTTAAGAAAATTAAATACTCATCTATATATTCATATAAGCATGTTTCATATTAACTTATTTAAACAAAATTTTAATTTTAATTAGACTATTTTAAATATAAAATCAACAAGAAAAAGAATACCTAATTAATTTCATGGCAAGGATTCATAATTGTTTTCTCCTATGTATAGAAATGCATGAAATGGATGGATCGGAACTCCACAACTGCCAGCACATAAACAAACGTAGGGACAGTACTTCCAATCTTAAGGAAACTCATTAATTTTTGCAAAAACCTGTCTTGTTCATCTGTACAAATCATATGCAGAATGAACTTGAGAAGTAAAGTTCTTATTGGTTAAAGAAATGTTGAAAAATGTTNTAATTTTGTTTCATTTCCTTATTTAATTTGGATTAAAGTTAAGTAATAGTACAGATAAGGTTTAGTGGTTCAAATTTTAACACATCTTTATGTGCAAGAATATTCGTAAAATCACCTTTCTATTAATGAAAGACTATTTTTCTCCTCTACCTAAACTATTTTATTTTAACTTGGTGCGCTATAACTCAGTCGTCAAGAGTTCTAACCATGCCACTTCCATTCCTTGAAAAAGAATGACTTTAAGGAGAAGGTAAGGTGAACCTATACATTGTGGTACAAGAGTGCATGCTCTTTACTATCATTGTCTCTGCAATTGTATTCTTTGGATGTCTTTGTGGTGTTTGTTTTCTCTGGGTTCTACCCTTTATCCCCTTTCCTGGATGTCTGTTCTTCGAACATTCTTATGTTGTTTGCTTACCTTTTTAAAGCATGATCTTTGCTCATTTCCCTTTCTGATTTGTTGTTGTTGTTGTGTGTTCATGACACAGAGAAACACTAGCTATTTACAGTTCAAATTAAAGACGAGTAAGAAGATTGGTTGTTTCCAGATTTCAAAGGTTAATTTGAGATAGTTTATAGTTTTTACTCTTAAATCAGGTTTGGTTCTCACCTGTGAAATTATTCTACAAACATTAAGAAATAATAACTTTGAACAAATGAACCTGTGAAATTTTTCATTTAAATTTAGGCTTTGGTAGGAATATAGTTACCATAAATATTGACTCTTTACTAGCTATGTTGTGGAATGAAAACGAGATGAAAAGAGCAAGAAGAACCTTGTACCTGTATCCTGGACCTTGTAAGTTGTTCTACAAGTACTTGTTCCTGAAACAATATATTGTGAGGAATAAGATTAATCACAACATATTTATATATTAGCAAGTCTTGACCTGAAGAACTTAATAAGTGGTTGAACTAAACAGTGAATTGAGTTGGATCTACAGTTTCTTAGATTATGACAGTGAAATAAAATATCTTAAATATGACGAAACCTAGCAACACTACCTTGCAAGAGGCACATCCTAAGTCTAATATAATAATTAATTCTGAGATTCATTATCACAATGATCCAGTTGCTGAGAAATAGAAAGGCTTTAATGTAGAGACCACATAGCACTCAAACATACCCTTCCTTCAATGAGATCTTGAGTTCCAATGTTGACTATTGTACATCCAATTGCTTTAGCTGAGTTCAGGAAAAGCGTGTGGTTTTCATTCCTTTCCCATGGATTAAGTAATCCTTTTGTATTGATTGCCCTTTCATCAATGGTCTGTGGAACAACCACATTAATCAGCTTACTGCAACAAATGTAATTCTTATTAAAGGATGAAAATCTGAGTTATATTGAGCAACATAAGAAGATAAACAATAAAAGCATAGTACCAAAGAAGAACACCATCTTTTGCTATCTCAAATAGGTCATTGGTTGAAGAATCAATATGAAGGCATTTCTTGAGAAATTCATCTCCTCCAAGATAGTTATTTATATGTGCAACATATCATGCCTTCTCAGATTCACTTATTGTATGAAGCAATGTGGTTGTTGCAGCCTTGAGGAACGCTTATGAGTTTTTTGCATTACTCCACGTCCTAGAACTTTCAAAACTTTGCAGTTTTAAGTACACCTGTCATCATTATGGCACCATTATTAAAATCACTCAAATTAACTTTGATTTGGACACAACTACTGAAATTGTTTCACTTTTTAAAAGGTGAACCATGTTCCACCATAATCTAAGAAATTGTAGATCCATGTTCTTTCTCTCTTAATGTTTATTTATTAGAAACTTGTTCTCTTATTTCATTGTTTGCATTTCTAGATGTAACCATGATTAAGGTGGTTAACCGTGAGCTTAGCTGCAGACTTGGTTGACAATTCATGGTGTATCTCTTTAGTGATATAATTATTGGTTGACAATTCTTGCTACTGTTTTTGCACACATCTTAAGTTTAAATATAAGTATAATGTTGCCAACTCAATAGTTTGTCTCTTTATACAAATGCAATGTTTTTAATGTTGGCATAATTGATTACGTTGTATGTAGGAAAAAAAATTCAAACATATGAATCTACAACATCGTCTCAATCAAAAGAAATATCAAGTTTAGATTCATTGGCTCATGTTTTAGGAAGCCAAGAGCATTGTGGACGTGTTCGCGGTCTAGGTTTAGGTCCTTGTCCATCTAAAGTCTTTGGAGTTCATGCTCGTTCTCATATTGGATCATCTTCATCTACTCCTTCTAATGTTGAATTACAATCTCAGGTTAATGAATATTTAAATATTTATTTGGTTTGTTCCTTTTAAGATTAACATGTTAGGTATCATATTTCTCACTTTTTAAATAAATTTTTTTTGTTATAGGTATCTTCATTGACTTCTTCTAATGTTAAATTAGAATCTCAGGTTAATGAATATTTAATAAATATTTACTTGGTTTGTTCTTTTTAAGATTAACATGTTAGGTATCATATTTCTTACTTTTTAAATAAATTTTTCTGTTATAGGTATCTTCATTGATATCACAAGTCAATGAAATGAAGGCAATGATGACACTTTTGTTGCAAAATCATCAAGGTCCATTGCCTTCATAGTTTGCATTATTTCAACGATCATCGGTAATAACAGTTAAATTTATTTGTATGATTTTTTTATTAAATATATTATCGACTAACTATTATGTTATATTGTAGGTATCTGATCAAGGGAGTGGGCCAAACAATGAATGTAATGAAGAAGAAAATTAGATATTGTTAGTGAATATCTTTGAGTCATACTTTTAGTATTGAACATTTGTATTGAACATCTATATTGAACATATGTAATGAACATCTTTCTTTTTAATTTTTATGTATGAACAATTAGTTGTATGAATGATATTAGGTTGAACAATGTAGTTTATTTTATACAATATTATTCAATTTTAGTTTATATTAATTTATTATTTGTTTTGTCAATAAAACCATTTTTATCATAACCTAATTTATTACAAAAAAAAATGAACTGAATAAATTCTCGGCGGTTTTAAAATCCCGGTAAACTAAACCATGCAAAATAGGGATGGTTTTGAGATAACACCAGCTAATTTCGGCGGTTTTTGAGTAACCCTCGCTATTCTTAGCGATTTTCACAAAACCCTCGCCGGCGGTTTCTCAAAATCCCAACTAATTTCGGAGGTTTCGTTTATAACCCCTGGAACTTCTGACGGTTTCCGGAAACCCCCGCTAATATTGGCGGTTTTTTCTAGAACCGCCAGTACTTACTTGGCGATGGGCGTTTTCCCAACGGTTTTTCCAACCACGGGAAATGTGATTTGCGGGGTTAAAACCTCCAGTAATATTAAATAAAAAACCCGGTAAAATTACATATTTTTGTAGTGAATGAAAAACAATTTAATTCATTTTATTTCTTTAAAGTAAATAATACATATGTTAAGGGATTTGAGATCAAAACAAAAAAATAAGCTTTAAAGTTAAAACACAACCTTCTAAAATAATAGAAAAAAATTTAAAATGAAATAAGCTCATTTGTCAAATGTGCCTAATTTGGCGAATCGAAAGTTTTTTAAACAAGTCAAATTAATAAATTAGAGATTAGCTTATAAGATTCTCCAATACTTTAATTGATAATTATAAACTATAAATGATTAATTATAGTTTTTTAATAATTAGCCATATTAAAAAATGGTTAGACTGTTTTAAATATTAAAACCTTATAGCTTATTTAATTAATAAGTGATCTTAAAAGTCATCTCTATTTACTAAGTAAACTTTCCTCTTCCAAGTATGTATACATTTCATATACGTTTATCTAATACTAAAGTCACCCCATTTAATTTGGTTTACATACATACAGTTGAATTTTCAATATCCACGGTGCCATCAATGTACTAAACTATATAATTAAAATATGAAGTTCTAAATAATTACTAGAAGATATGAATAAAATATGTACAATGAATTTCTATTCAAATTAAAAAAATAAGTGAAAAAAACAACAACCTAGTACTCCACCTTTCTCGTGTAATTTATGACTAGAAAGGCATAATATTATAGCTNGCACCATTATTAAAATCACTCAAATTAACTTTGATTTGGACACAACTACTAAAACTGTTTCACTTTTTAAAAGGTGAACCATGTTCCACCATAATCTAAGAAAATGTAGATCCATGTTCTTTCTCTCTTAATGTTTATTTATTAGAAACTTGTTCTCTTATTTCATTGTTTGCATTTCTAGATGTAACCATGATTAAGGTGGTTAACCGTGAGCTTAGCTGCAGACTTGGTTGACAATTCATGGTGTATCTCTTTAGTGATATAATTATTGGTTGACAATTCTTGCTACTGTTTTTGCACACATCTTAAGTTTAAATATAAGTATAATGTTGCCAACTCAATAGTTTGTCTCTTTATACAAATGCAATGTTTTTAATGTTGGCATAATTGATTACGTTGTATGTAGGAAAAAAAATTCAAACATATGAATCTACAACATCGTCTCAATCAAAAGAAATATCAAGTTTAGATTCATTGGCTCATGTTTTAGGAAGCCAAGAGCATTGTGGACGTGTTCGCGGTCTAGGTTTAGGTCCTTGTCCATCTAAAGTCTTTGGAGTTCATGCTCGTTCTCATATTGGATCATCTTCATCTACTCCTTCTAATGTTGAATTACAATCTCAGGTTAATGAATATTTAAATATTTATTTGGTTTGTTCCTTTTAAGATTAACATGTTAGGTATCATATTTCTCACTTTTTAAATAAATTTTTTTTGTTATAGGTATCTTCATTGACTTCTTCTAATGTTAAATTAGAATCTCAGGTTAATGAATATTTAATAAATATTTACTTGGTTTGTTCTTTTTAAGATTAACATGTTAGGTATCATATTTCTTACTTTTTAAATAAATTTTTCTGTTATAGGTATCTTCATTGATATCACAAGTCAATGAAATGAAGGCAATGATGACACTTTTGTTGCAAAATCATCAAGGTCCATTGCCTTCATAGTTTGCATTATTTCAACGATCATCGGTAATAACAGTTAAATTTATTTGTATGATTTTTTTATTAAATATATTATCGACTAACTATTATGTTATATTGTAGGTATCTGATCAAGGGAGTGGGCCAAACAATGGATGTAATGAAGAAGAAAATTAGATATTGTTAGTGAATATCTTTATGAGTCATACTTTTAGTATTGAACATTTGTATTGAACATCTATATTGAACATATGTAATGAACATCTTTCTTTTTAATTTTTATGTATGAACAATTAGTTGTATGAATGATATTAGGTTGAACAATGTAGTTTATTTTATACAATATTATTCAATTTTAGTTTATATTAATTTATTATTTGTTTTGTCAATAAAACCATTTTTATCATAACCTAATTTATTACAAAAAAAAATGAACTGAATAAATTCTCGGCGGTTTTAAAATCCCGGTAAACTAAACCATGCAAAATAGGGATGGTTTTGAGATAACACCAGCTAATTTCGGCGGTTTTTGAGTAACCCTCGCTATTCTTAGCGATTTTCACAAAACCCTCGCCGGCGGTTTCTCAAAATCCCAACTAATTTCGGAGGTTTCGTTTGTAACCCCTGGAACTTCTGACGGTTTCCGGAAACCCCCGCTAATATTGGCGGTTTTTTCTAGAACCGCCAGTACTTACTTGGCGATGGGCGTTTTCCCAACGGTTTTTCCAACCACGGGAAATGTGATTTGCGGGGTTAAAACCTCCAGTAATATTAAATAAAAAACCCGGTAAAATTACATATTTTTGTAGTGAATGAAAAACAATTTAATTCATTTTATTTCTTTAAAGTAAATAATACATATGTTAAGGGATTTGAGATCAAAACAAAAAAATAAGCTTTAAAGTTAAAACACAACCTTCTAAAATAATAGAAAAAAATTTAAAATGAAATAAGCTCATTTGTCAAATGTGCCTAATTTGGCGAATCGAAAGTTTTTTAAACTAGTCAAATTAATAAATTAGAGATTAGCTTATAAGATTCTCCAATACTTTAATTGATAATTATAAACTATAAATGATTAATTATAGTTTTTTAATAATTAGCCATATTAAAAAATGGTTAGACTGTTTTAAATATTAAAACCTTATAGCTTATTTAATTAATAAGTGATCTTAAAAGTCATCTCTATTTACTAAGTAAACTTTCCTCTTCCAAGTATGTATACATTTCATATACGTTTATCTAATACTAAAGTCACCCCATTTAATTTGGTTTACATACATACAGTTGAATTTTCAATATCCACGGTGCCATCAATGTACTAAACTATATAATTAAAATATGAAGTTCTAAATAATTACTAGAAGATATGAATAAAATATGTACAATGAATTTCTATTCAAATTAAAAAAATAAGTGAAAAAAACAACAACCTAGTACTCCACCTTTCTCGTGTAATTTATGACTAGAAAGGCATAATATTATAGCTATTAATAAGATGAACTAGAATATCAGCTTATCATGTGCACTTGCACGGCAAAATCTGCCCTATTCAAAACACTTATCATTGCAAGGAAAATTACATTCCAACCAATTCAATGGAAAACTTTTTTTTCAAAACAAACAATATGCACGTCTGTAGTGGTTGGACGTACGGATTTATATACATAGCATAGACAAGATTTAAGAAAATTAAATACTCAGCTATTCATATATAGGCATGTTTCATATTAACTTATTTAAACAAAATTTTAATTTTAATTAGACTATTTTAAATATAAAATCAACAAGAAAAAGAATACCTAATTAATTTCATGGCAAGGATTCATAATTGTTTTCTCCTATGTATAGAAATGCATGAAATGGATGGATCGGAACTCCACAACTGCCAGCACATAAACAAACGTAGGGACAGTACTTCCAATCTTAAGGAAACTCATTAATTTTTGCAAAAACCTGTCTTGTTCATCTGTACAAATCATATGCAGAATGAACTTGAGAAGTAAAGTTCTTATTGGTTAAAGAAATGTTGAAAAATGTTTTAGACAATTTTCCAGTATTATAATTATACTCTCTTGACACAAGATCACGTTTGCTTTGGCCTTATGGCAAAAGATAATGTATCCCTACAACCATTGTTGACATTGAGAGCTATAAGACTGTCTAGGTCACCGTAGAACATGAAAGAGAGAGAAAGAGAGAGATAAGGGTTTCTTAGTATGCATGAGAAGTCTACGTGAAGAAATGGAGTTATGGTTGGCTGAAAATGTTTCACTTCTATTTTATTTTTTTTAATTTTTTTTCTGGTATTTATATATTTTTTAACTTTATCTACACTCCAGGGTGACATTGGACCTAAATTCTTTGTGCTTATACATTAGGTTGCCCTAATCCCACTCAAGTCTCTATCCATATTATAATTGTTTCTTTTCCAAATATAAACCTGATTTGTTTAAGAAACTCGTAAGAGCTAGCTTTAGTCAGAGTAAAAGGGACAAAAACACTTGCAAAAACAAAAGGGGAGGAAAAACCTACATTTATTCTTGTACAAGTTTTCACATACACCATGTACAAAGAAGAACCAAACTTGAGATCAAAGCAATCCCATTTTTTTATTCTTATATGTTTCCTGTGCAACCAACCCTCTTTCTGATTGTTAATCTCATTCTCTATTTAGATTTTTGGGCATCTCTTTCTCACTTTCTCGTTAAGTGCAAGCACAGAGGTTGGGGAAACCACTGCAATATTATTCACGACTCATGCAAAAGTGAGGGAGAATTTAATTCCTTCCCACCACTCCTTCATAGTGGCATGAGGCTGCAAGCTTTAGGAGAGACAAGTTTTCCTTTTTCTCCTTTTTTTTTTTAATTATTACTACTTTCAATCCCTCTCTTAACTAAAACGTTTCACACACTCTCTCCCTCTCTCTCCTTTAGTTTCTGTTCCTTTTTGTTTTATAGCAACAGAAGAGAGCGAAACCAAAGAACAAAAAGAGGGTGTCCATAAATGGAATGAGTGACGAAAACAAGAGAAAAAAGCAAGAAAATGACTCAGTGCAGTGACCCTAACATCATAGTGGAGGGACGAAAGGATAGCTTAATTAGAACTTGTCCTACATGTGGTCATCATATCAAATGCCAAGAACAGGTTCTTCTTCTTTTTACTACTGTAAAAAACTATCAACCCTTTTGTTAATAAAATTTTATTTTTTTATATCATTACCCTTTTGGTTAGTTTTTTTCTAGTTTGATTCATTTCTCGGTTTTTTTGGTGGCATATTTCGATTTGGTATAGGGAGGTGGAATTCATGACTTACCAGGACTTCCTGCTGGTGTGAAGTTTGATCCTACAGATCAAGAGATTCTTGAACATTTGGAAGCGAAGGTGCGATCTGATATTCATAAGCTTCATCCTCTCATTGATGAGTTTATTCCCACTCTTGAAGGCGAGAATGGAATCTGCTATACTCACCCAGAGAAATTGCCAGGTCAAATAAAATATCTAAATATACACATCCTGTTTGATTCTTTCCAATTTCTGATGAGTCTAATTAATCTTTCAAATTTTACATTTTATTTGGATAAAATTCTCTCTATATATGTCAAAGAGAAGAGTTATATCATTAATAGACTCTCAGTAAAATCTGTCTTTGCATTATTATTAAAGCCTCACTGTTATGCAATTTATATTGACTTTGCAACACATATATATCAGTTTTGTTGAAGCAACAATTTTGTGGCAGATGACCGTTTACATTATCAATTTTAAGTTGAAATTATTTATATTATCTTATATATATCTGGACCAGTGGCGAAAGTAGAACCACAGAGATCAACGTGTCTTTTTTCTTTTTCAGGGGTGACAATATAGTACTCTTTTATGCATAAACTTTAAGGAATTGAAAACTTTGAGGATGATATTACCCTTCAACTAACATAGCTATATTACGCAGCACCTTCTTATTTCCTTTCCCTTATCTTAATTATAGTCTCATTGAAGACAAGTCAAATTTTTATAGTTCCACATGAAAAACCAATATCAAATCTTTATCAGTAAAGTGTTTACATATATCATCATTTGTGAAAGAAAACATGCTCGTGAGAAACAAAACAGAAACACATGATTTTTGTTTTTCATCTAAAAGATGAATTTGTAACAGACATTATAGTTTTGTGCAGGAGTTAGCAAAGATGGTCTGATCCGGCATTTCTTTCACAGGCCTTCAAAGGCATACACCACAGGAACAAGGAAGAGGAGAAAGGTGCATTCAGATGAAGATGGCAGTGAGACACGTTGGCACAAAACAGGTAAAACAAGACCAGTCTACAACAGTGCCAAGTTGAAAGGGTACAAGAAAATCCTTGTACTTTACACAAACTATGGAAAACAAAGAAAGCCAGAGAAGACAAACTGGGTGATGCACCAATACCACCTTGGAAGTGATGAAGAGGAAAAAGAAGGGGAGTTAGTGGTGTCTAAAGTTTTCTACCAAACACAGCCTAGACAGTGCAGTTCCCTCATGAAAGACTCATCAGTTCCTGAGAAAAACATTAAGGGTCAAAGTGTGCATGAGGTGATCAATAGCAGAAACAAAAGCAACGGCTTTGTTGAGTATTACCATTCAAATTTCATCTCATTTGATCAAAGTGCTCAACACAGACCAGCCACTGCTCAAGTAATTTCCCATTTTCCTGTTCATGAAGGTGCTTCTTTCAACATTCCTTGAACGAAGCAATGAACAGTTATTATAAGGTGAATCTATATTAAATATATATACATAGAATTCATAATGCTGAGGCATTTCAATTATATATTATGAAAAAATTGAAATAAGTTAATTAACCTGCTGTAGTTAGGAGGGGGAAAGGTGGGAAGAATAAGGAGAGATATTGCTTCATTGAAAACTAATGCATAGATACTCATATTATGCAGAAAGAGAATGGGAAGTAAAGAAGAAGATTTAGGTGTAACACTTTTTTATTTTCTCTTTTCTTCCCTCTCTGTATTTTTTAGGCTACTTAGCTTCTACATATCATGCTTTGTACAGTAGATTGAACGGCATCATGCCCTTTCTTGTGTACTTGAAGACTAACCATCAACCTGTACAAACATGATTTTCACCTTCTTCAACTACAGAATCTGTTTCTATGCCTTTTTCCATCAAAGTTTTAATTGATTGAAAACTTAATCATATTTATTGTCTTAAGATTTAATTCAGGATATATATATATATATATATATATATATATATATATATAT